GGGATCACTTTCTCTTTTCTTCTTTTCTTTTGAGTCGACTTCATATCAGCGATACAGTACATCTGCAAATCAAAACCATCTCGCTGACTTTTAGAGCTGTTTAATTGTTCCTGGTTTTCCTCACATCCAGCGTGACTATCAACACTCGTCTCGTTGTTTTCGATGTCTACCTCCGAGGCTGAGCTGGGACCACAGCTGCATGTCTTTTTACATTTCCCCTGACAGCATGATCTCACTCATAGCCAGTTGTGTTATGCTGCATGGATTTTTGTTGTTGCTCCTCGTGCTGTGTGTGTGGATCAACCTAAGTCCGGACTCTGATTGAATAGCTGTGTTACAGCAGCGGCACGGCCTGTGCCTCATCGCAGTCACAGGATGTGTAATGCTTTAGTTTATACTAAGTAGAAGATTTTTTTTTTCTCAGGCTCCGTGTGTGTTTGTGTGACTGAGGAATGTTCCACCATACCTCGTTGTGCGTTGCCCAGACATAGTGCAATAAAATATTTCCTTCCCTTACTAAATTTAACAGCAGTCAGTTCAGCTTTCTAAACTTATACGTGTACGGCCTCATTGTTTTTATGCAGAGCAGTTGAGCCACTGTCAAACCCTGTGCACCTCACAGGCCTACTCTAAAAGGTGAAGGTGATTTTAAATTATGCCTTTCAGTTTTGCAAAAGCAAGATTGATCATTGTTTTTATGGCGCTCGCTGCAAAATAAATACGTGTACCAAATCCAGAAATTGCAGCCCAAATTACACCTCAGCTCTCTGCGTTTCAAAACGATTTGGAACATTTCAGGGAACGGGAGACAAACGCTCCTTTTCTCTTCTCACGCTCACACCGCTCTGTAATTTCTCTCTGGTTTTTAAATGTAGCACAACTGAAACTGTCCGATTACTCTTGCGGCCGCATTTTGTTGTATCAGTGCTGGATGGATGGAATGAGTGGGTGAAGCAAGACTGACCTCAAGCTCTAGAGGATAGTAGTAGATATAAAAAAAAACAAAAAAATGTTTTAAGACTGAGGTCAAGATTGCTGTTACGTTAGCTCAGACTCAATTTGTTTCATTGTTGTCAGGGTTCCACGATTTTTTGCTGTTTCTGAGTTTTTAATCCTTAGTTAATATTACCTTCGTTGAGTTTCTGTTCCTGTTTTTTTCTGTGTGAAGGATTTTTCTCTGGTTCACTTTCTAGTTTTACTTCTTCGGCTTCTAGCTCTGCTACACGTGGAAGGCCTAAAAAACTCCACAGAGGACAGACAGGCTGGCACTTCTGTATAAATTGCTGGGTTGTGTATGATGTGTGTTATTTTTATCCTTCATTGTCTCACCCAAAAACCACGGATGGATGGATGGTGATCAAAACCATAAAGATGAAGATCTGATTTGGTTTAGAGGGATATGTGCGTCAGACAGCAGCCGCTGATTATCACTTTTATTCTGAAGGTGGTGTGTATGCCTGGTAGAGATGTGCTGCCATGAACAAGACAGGAATGGGTTGTCCTAACTTCCTCCCCTCTGGTCACGGCAGATGGCATTCCCTCCCTGAGCCTGCTGCAGGTTTCTTCCTGTAAAAAGGGAGTTTTTCCTTCCCACTGTCGCCAAGTGCTTACTGATAGGTGGTCGTTTGTTTGTTGGAGTTTTCTCTTTATTACTGTAGGGTCTTTACCTTACAATATAAAGTGCCTTGAGGCGACTGTGAGTGTTAGTCAGTCCAGGATGTACAACAGCCTCTAATATCAGCTTATACAGGCTCCAGTGCATCTAGTACATGACTGAAAAGATGGAAGTTACAGGTGCAAGAATTGATCCAACACCAACAGCTCTAAAGCTGGAGTCTTTCCATTCAAGCCCTCTGTGAATGGCTTCATGCAGTGTTGATTAAGGCTTTCAGCACTTAGTAAATGTCTCTTTACTCCTCCTGAGTTTAAGCGTGAAGCGAAGCACTGGTGGACCAATGTGATGCATCACCTTAACATTTAACGTAGCTGAAAAGAGTCCAGATAAACTTTTTAGAGGAAAGATTAAAGTCTGACAAAGTGAGCTATTGACCGCAAAGACATTTTCTTGTTAGAACTGAGTTCCCTAATGTTTGTGGAAATGCTCCCACAGCCAGAAGGTGGAGACAGAATTTCCACTCTGCTGATTTCATGCTTAATTCAGAGTTTACCCACTTTACTGTTGGCATTAAGTTAATAAATGTTTATTTGTTTATTTTTGCTTTTAAGTATTTTAACAGTGCATTATGCTGTATAAAAATAAATGTGAAATGAGTCTGTTTTGAGTAATTTAATAACGGCTTCTCTTGGTCATGACTCAGTTTATACAACTATTCACTGTGGCAGTGGAGAAAATCCCACCTGAACCCTGAACAAAGTAACAGGATGTGTGATTAAGCCAAATAATACCTCACTGGTTTTTTTTTTCTTACAAATTCAGTGACAGTAGCTAATCTCCTGACAAAAATGTTATCAGAGTCTTTTGGGGAAAAATATTTAAAATATCTAATCAGGTAACAGTTTATTACATAATCTTCTTATGAGAAGAAGAAGATAGGAAAGCTATCGACTGCAAAAAAAAAAAAAAATCTGCCAAATCAAAGACTTGGATTTATGGGAGCAGCTACAACTGCTTTTAACATATTATTATTATTATTATTATTGTTGTTGTTGTTGTTGTTGTTATCATCAAAAGAAGCGGTATGACTGTCCATACCCCCTCACCCACCCACCCACCCACCCACCCAAAGAAAAAGCCAGAAACAAGCATGCGCCAGCATATGCTTCATATCCCAAAAGTTATATCAGTGTCGCAATAGCTTCAAACAGGACCGAGCCCCTGCTCTCCTCCGCGATGTGATAATCCTCCGCATAACCCGCTGCACCGTCACATCCTATTCTACTCACGCAATCGGGTCTGAAAAGACCTCTGATTGGCTCCTTCACAGACTCCGTGTGCGTGGAGTTGGGTTCTCTCCTGAAATTCGTGAATGGCAATATGCTGAAAGGTTGTTTTGATTTCTTGTCCGGTGACAGCAAAACTGTGTTGCCTTCTCCAGCTGTAAGATTTTTAAAGGTTTTACTAAGAAACTTGTGAATTGAGATAAATTGCTAAGTATGAATCATGCCTGCCTGCCTTTTGTTGTGCTTTAAGTCATTTGTCCACATTGATGCATCAATAATTGTTATTAGATAATATTATATTAGATGTTATATATGCAAGCATTTGTATCTACATTAATTACATTTAACTGATAAATCTATTGCATGCTTAAATAACTAAGAATTTCAAATAGTTAGTTTAAAATTCTGGCAATTTTAACTGGCATATCCGATATGTTTGAAACCACAGGCAGCTACAACAGACACTGTAGTGGGACATTGTAACAAAGAGGCACCAGAAACATCTTGTCTATCTATGATTTATCAGCCTCTCTCTCCCAGGCTCTTCTCCTTTATCAGCCTGTCACTCTGCATCACTCTCCTGTCACTAGTTTTTCCTCTCCCTTATTCCTCCCTGTTCTGCTCGCCTTACAAGGCTCAAAGTGACTTCCAGGGCGGTGTTTCCTGGCCCTCTGTTGTTAATAAAGACTTGGAGCGCCAGCTGCAGTCTTGGCTGGTAGATGCTGAGGCCCCGGGGCACTGGGGAAACAACAGCGTGCTCTCAAAGCTCGACCAGATCTCCAAGTACATTTTAAGCGCTCACCAGTGACTTTCGGGGTCCTGCATCGCTCCTCAGATATCAGCTGGAAAATGCAAACTGGACACACCACAAAACAGTTGTTAGAGCAGGAACATGGCCAAGAAGCACGCTCATACAGTATGTGTGATGGTCTGTTAGTTAATGTATGTTTCACTTGTGTCTGGTACGCATCAGGGTTTGATGATTAGTGTTTGAAGCTGAGTTTACATTGTATTGTTAATAAGAATAATTAGTCTTCCTATGCTCTACAAAGCCCCAGTTAGAGCAGATATGGCCCTTTAGTGGTGGACTTCCAGTGGGCAAGTTGCAGTTTTTCTTATTTCCATCTGCTTTCATTTACACCCAGTAAGAAAAAAAGAGCATATTAGAGCCCACAGGAGACCAGTAAATTCATCCACGGGGTTGCTTGCAGATCACCAGAGCTGGCCAGCTGCTGGTGATGACGGGGTACTTTCTAAGCGCTCTCATGGCTCTTGCCCTGCTTGCTGTAATGGGCCACATAAATAGCTAATTGTTAAATCCATCTCGGAGGTCGCAATACAGGATGAGTAAGGAGGTGAATCTGCGAAACAGGCAGAATGAGAGCACGCCGTGACATCTAGGTATCGTGCTATGCTTTTGTAATATGAATCTCGGGGCCTATGGGCCATTTAGACAGCCTGACTGTCAGTTTCACTCACACTCTCACTTTTTCCAGGAGGAAATAGTACAGACACACTCCATGTAATCATATAGTTGTTGAGTCTGAGAGGAAAGGCAACAGTGCCTATGAAGAGGTGTGCAACACTTAGTGTTGTTTTCCTCAGCTGACAGATTGAGGAGGGTAGTGGTTTGACCCGTAATCAGGGCCAAGTCCCAATTACTGCAGTCTTGCACTGTAGCCATTAGCTCACTGTCTCTGGAGACTCCAAATCTCATTTTAAGGGAATGACTCAGAAAAAGTGATTTATAATCAAATAAGATTCTCGAAGACAGCAGGGATTTTCGCTCTGCGTGCTAATCACCTTAGCCGAGTGACGATCTGCACTTTGTCTTTCCCAGCGAATGATCTCAGATCTCCTTAGCTGTCATGTTTTACGCTGGTCATTTAAGCAGCAATGAAGAATTTATTGTTACTTTAATATTGCTTAATGTGTGCATTGAACACAGAGGTAGAAAGATCGAAAAGTCAAGCAGCCTGTAAGAAATAATGATGCTGACTGCTGTCTAAAATATTCTAGTTTATACACACAAACAGTCCACAAGCGAGCACGTCCTCATCTCACACACTTCTCTTACTCGCTGCCTTTTTTATTTTCAGACTAAAGAGCAACAGGACCAAGTACAGAATCAGAGCAATAAAGTCTTCCTCTACTGTGCCTTCTTGGACTACAGGTGGGTTTGTGTTCATGATTTCGACACAGAACTTCTGAATTATCCATTCAGATCCAGCTCCAAAGGGATTTTTATCTTGATTGTTCACTCGTTGCATGCATTTCTTTCTCGAGTCTTTAAATCATAAGAAATCACTGGTGATTGGAAGAAGGTGGTGGGGTTTTTTTTTCTTTTACTCTTTCAAATCAGAAACATCCAGTTTTACACGTGTCGCTGTTTTGGCTTCTTGAGCCACAGCCCTCAATGTAAAACAAAGGAAAAAAAGCTGAAGCTCTGATATGCGGAGCCAAAACACTTTTTGCTAAACTTAACTCATTTTTAAAAATAGGGAGTCCAATACATTGGATTCAAACACATCCTTCTCCTACTCCACTTTGCCCTGAAGCTTAAGAAAAATGTGAATAATTGGGTCGCCCTGTCAGATTGCACTAATAAAGTCAACTTAATCTCTGTGTGCCTCCCACGGGGGGGATATTGGATTATACTGAGTGCACCCTCTCAGCAGCGTTCCAGTAAAGAATTGCCCCGTCTGTTTCTCTGTATCGTGTTTGTTCTAGTTTTTTATGTTTGATCTTGCATTAGATACATTTCCTCTGCTAACAGCACCAAATTGTCATTCATTTCAGTTCTAAAGAGGGAGTATGGTCCAACAAAGGCTGCGTGCGCGCACATGGAAACATGACGTACTCCGTGTGTTTGTGCAACCACCTTACCAACTTTGCCATCCTCATGCAAGTTGTGCCCTTAAAGGTATGAATGTTCTGGCTGCTCTTCAAAAGTCTGAATATTAGGCAGCATTTGCAACAGATCTCATTTTTATTTTGTTGTTTTGAAGGAGTTCAACACAGTTTGATGTTTGTAGTCTTCAGCTTTGTATGTTTCTCCTATTTGTACTGAAGCTTCTAATCTCACCAGACTCCAGACTTTTATCAGCACGGCGCCTGGTAGCCAGTAACTCATTCTTCTATTTTTCTTGTTCAGTGGTGGTTTGCAAAGAAATTTTTGGTGGAATAACTGCAAGTAGTAGTGTTTTACATACTATCAGACTCCTGCAACAACAAAGGAAGATGTATATTTTAAGAAAACAATAAAACATTTTAAAATCATTTAACATTATTACAGTTTAATGGAAGACTGAGAAGTGAAAATGCAATCTCTGTAAAATATAATATTCAAGTGCAGACAGAGCCAGTGGCAGACACCTGGGCCAGGTGATGTGGAAGCCAGGCAACTTGGTCGGTGCACTCTGCAAGAAACTTTACAAGTGAATGCGCAGCATGAGTGAGTGAAAGGATGGAACCACTATATTACGCCATCCAACAAATCAGTTGGATTTAAAAGTGTAGCCCTCTCACCAAGACACAAAATACGCTGGTTAGCTTGTAGAAGAGTAAGTAAACAGGAAGCAGTGGTTTACCAGTGCCTTCTTTACTTCTCTATCAAACCACTAGTTTCACTGGTGGTTTGATAGAGAAGCGCTTTGTGCAACCATGATTTGTGTGGTTGTTTTAGGTCACTGAACAGGTCAGTGGAGCATTCCTCAAAGTTATGGGCTCTCAAGGGGCAAATAAACAAAAATCTCTTTAAACCATCCTTCATTTATTTTTTTCTATTTTCTCTTTTTCACGTTTACATCATCTGCACGTGGAGCACTTAAAAGCACAAAACCTGTGCATGATTTTTTCCTCTTATCTAACTCTTTTGCATCCAAGAATACGAACCCATGGGAGTATGGTTAGCATCCACAATGGCTTCTTAAAATAGAAAAAGCAGTCAATAGACAAGAGCATGTAATTAGTCTATTTGCTGATGACGTGTTGATAGCCCTCAAAAACCCCACAAACTCTTTTATGCAGCTTACAGAAATGTTAGGAAAATTTGGTACGCTTTCTGGCTACAAAGTAAATATACTTAAAACTCAAGTTCTAATGTTTAACTGTATACCAACTCAAAATCTTAAGGAATGGGAAATAAAGTGGGAGGCAAAAACCCTTAAATATTTAGGTATAAATATAACCAAAAACTATGACAAACTATATCAAAGTAACTATGGACATATAAATAACAGGATAAGGCAGGATATGGAAAGATGGAATACATATCCGTTAGGATTTAGTGACAGGATAAACGTGATAAAGATGAACATCTTACCACGATTGCTATATTTATTCCTCTCTCTTCCGATAAGCATACCTCAAACCCAATTCTCAGAATGGGATAAGTATATATCTAGATTTGTCTGGGAAGGCAAGCGGCCAAGGGTACGATACACTACTTTACAGCTTACTAAGGAGAAAGGAGGAATGTCGCTTCCTAATTTAAAAGAATATTTTCGTGCTGCACAGATACGCCATCCATCCATCCATCCATCCATCCATCCATCTAGGAACCTGATAATATCCTTTACATTAAATGTATGGTATGATACAGTAAGGGAGTTCAGGATTGGCAAAGAGCTTGGTTTGCTAAAATGGATAGCCTTCGATGAAGAATTTAGACCAGGAAAATTGGATCTTGGTTTTAAAAATTGAAATGAAAAGGGAATCACAGCAATTTGTTTATTAATCAAAAAAGGAGAAATTAAAAGTTTTGAAGAATTAAAACGGGAATACAACTTAAAAAACAAGGATTTTTTCAGATACTTACAGGTGAGAGATTACTTTAATAAAAACATAAAAATAGAGGAAGACAAAATCCATCCTATTATAAAAATAATTATACTGGCATATAAAAGTGTTATTCCAAAAACAGTGTCTACCCTATACAAATGTTTGATGGAATCAAGACAGGAATCAACTGTATATGTTAAAGTAAAATGGGAAAGAGAGCTGAGTGAAGAAATCACTGAGAGGGTGTGGTATGAAACATGGAAAGAACATAAGAATACAACTCACTCATTGAGGTGGAGAGAATTCATCTGGAAAAATCAAATTCGCTATTTTATTACACCTAAGATTAAAAATAAACAAACCAATACACAACAACAATGTTGGAGGCTGTGTGGATGGGATGAACCAGACCATACACACATTTTCTGGAAATGCAGAAAAATTCACACTTTCTGGGTTAAAATTCACTCAGCTCTCTGTGATATATTAGGTTATATTATTCCTAGAACCTGCCTTGTTTTGTATCTAGGGTACTTGGAAGGTACTGTAGATGTAAAGGATCGTTACCTGGCTAAGATTCTCCTTTTGGCAGCAAAGAAGGCCATCACCAAAAACTGGCTTAAGACAGAAACACCAGGAAAGCAGCAGTGGGTAGCAATTGTGGAGGACATTATGGAGATGGAGAACCTTACATATAAACTGAAATTAAAGGAAGAACGCTTTTTGAAGGACTGGGGAAAATGGTTGACGTACAACGGAAGGGGAAAAAAGACTGAACTGAATGAAGATGAGCATACAAGAAGAAAAAAAAAGTGAAATGAACGATGGAAATGTTTGACACCACAGGCATGTTTCCTTTTTTTTCTTTTGTTTTACTTTATCTTATTTTTCTAATTATTATTCTATATGTATCTATATTTTTATACATATATATTTGTTTGTTTCTTTTTCTTTCTAATTTCACTGTCTTGAGTTTGTGACTCTCTTTGTATTCTGTTATTCTGAAGAAACTGTATGCGTAATGGACAGGTGAGTTGTTCAAATAAATAAAATAAAAAGTTTAAAAAAAAAAAAATAGAAAAAGCAGACTTCTTATTGCAGCTTAAGTGCGCCAGTGCTGTATTTATTGCACACGAGTCTATTTGATGCTATGCTTTCCCTTAGCAAGTCTCTAATTAGTGGGCTGCCTCATCCCTCAGTTGCAAGGGAACATCTCACGTATCCCAGTTCTGGATGGCTGAGACTCCTCTACTCTTGTAATGACAAGGCACATGAGTAGACAGTTAATGGAAAATTAAACCCAAACACTCAAAATAGCCTGGAATCCAAAACAACATCAACACACTGGGCTGGACGCACACTGCGTCGATTATAAACATTTTTGCTTTTGCTCAAAATATAAAAATCGGTGTTTAATCTTTTGCAATGGCTTTAAGAGGACATTACCTCAAAAACTTGTGAACAAAACATGTAAACAAAAGCAGAATATATAGTTTTGTGATCAAGAATCATTTTAATTGCAACATCTGTGCTATCCTATTTGACATGAGAGGTTATAAATAACTTTTTGAGGCTATGATATTGTGCCCACTTGTGGAAGTACTAATGGTGTTTGTTAGTCTTGTGTTCACAGTAATAAACTCTAGAGACTCCCTTTGTTGAAAAAGGATGCACTAGATTTGGATGTATGTGGGATGGCACATGTACCAACACTCCATGTGCTGTGTTGTCAGATCTGATGTTGACAATGCCTCTCTCCACAGATTTCTACTGGCCACAAGGTGGCACTATCAACCATCGGTTACGTTGGCTGTTCTATTTCCATCTTCTGCCTTGCCATCACTCTGGTCACCTTTGCAGTCTTATCGTAAGTATTACTTTTTAAACAGTAAGTAAATTTACAAGAACTCAGTGGAATTACCTTTTTTTTTCCTTCATATGTGGCCAAAGACATGTAGTGTGATGAGTCGGATGTCAGAATCTGGAATGTTTAAATGCAACAAAGCCTTTTTTTATTACCATAGTAGTCTATGAAGTTATACTGTAGTTAAGTATTTTTCCTTTTGCTTCTTTTCAGGTCAGTGAGTACCATCCGTAACCAGCGCTACCACATCCACGCCAACCTCTCCTTCGCCATCCTGGTGGCAGAGATCTTACTGCTGATCAGCGCTCGCTTTGACCCTGGCACGGTACGTACACGGCACAGTGACTGTTTGATGATTGCAGCATAATGATGACAGGAGTGGCAGTGGTTTTAATGGTTTTACAGCTGTTACTATGACAAGGATAGAAATACATCATGTTGAAAATGATGAGAAGTATAGAAAGCAGTATAAAAATGAGGGTTTAAGAAAAAAATACACATTAAAAGAGACAGTTTTGATCTTTTCCCAGCTGCCATGTAAGGTTATGGCTGTCCTGCTACACTTCTTCTTTCTGAGTGCTTTTGCCTGGATGTTGGTGGAGGGCCTTCACCTGTACAGTATGGTGGTCAAGGTGTTCGGCTCTGAAGACAGCAAACACTTCTACTACTATGGCATTGGCTGGGGTGGGTCTGTCTTGCTTCTTTTTTTTTTTTTTTTTTTGAAAATATGTATTTAAAAAAGATAACTATTCAGTAATATTTTCCTCATTTCTGTCCTTACATCATCTTATTTTATTGTCACAAATCTGATCCAAAGCCCTGCCTCTACCCTGGACGACCTCATCTAAAGATGATTTCCTTAAAATTGATTTTTCTTTGTCAAATATAATAAAAACAGCTGTAGCAGTGTTGAATAAATCAACTTTAAGGTTCACTACATTCCAGTCTATCTTTTAGGTCTCATCATTTTTGTGAGCTCGAGTGTGATGGACAGAAAAAACAAATCTGGAACATACGTGTCCCATCTCTGGCTGCTGGGGAACGCCTCTCTTACATGTTGAACCCATTTGTGGAAAAACATCGGCTTTTTTTAATTACTTCCTTTCTTCTGGCTAGAGTATTTTTTTCATTTTGTGTTTTTTTTTTACTGCACATTACTCACTTGAGACTTCTTCCCTGTCAGCTTCAAGTACAGTTGTTATCAAAAGAAAGTAAATACATGCTTTTATAAAGAATTATTTCTCTGTTACGCTGTGATAAAGGCTTTCAGCTACTTCATCCTTCATTTCCTCACTCTAAGTAAAAAATTCCTCCCAGCATAGTGTCCTCAAAACCTTTGGACCTCAGAGGCCAAGAGATCAAAGCAGTGAAATCTAAGGACTTGTTTTCAAGGAAACAAGCAATTAGCAGCACCGCGGAGAAATAAAAACCTCTACAGGGAGTTTATACAGTTTATACAGCACGGTGCACAGTTCCAAAGTGTTTGCAATGAAGTTTATCCTGTGGAGCTTTGACAACAAGGCAAAGAAAGGAAATGGGAAGGGAAAAAAACTCTGCGAGCAATCACCATTGGATTTAAAACGAAACATTTACATTTGTAGGGATTTCTATGGCATTTATCTAACATAATGTACAGTAAGGTACAGTGAGAACATGTAAACTGTAACAAATATGTGTTTTATATACTATAATTACAACAAACTAAAATATACAGCATACTATAATAAAGCTGCCATGCTATTCTATGTGTAGGTACTGTATGCAACCCCCATTTGAGGAGCGTATGGAGGAAATAGGTGTCTATGGTGCTGCTATTACTGAATATGTGTTTGTTTGTTTTTTTGGACCAGGTTCTCCGTTCTTGATCTGTGTCGTGTCCATGACATCAGCCCTTGACAGTTATGGAAAAGTTGATAAGTAAGTATAAAAAAGAAATCTTTGGGGAAATGTACTTTACTCCATTAAGGCTCTTTGCAGTTGCATAATAGTGACATCACCTGTGTGCAAGAAATTGCAAACAGAAATTGTTATTTAAAAGCATTTGGTTACCAGTGTGTTGCTCCATGTTTGCATTGCAAATTATTTCCTTTTTGTTCTGAGGGAAAACAATCCAAAGTCTAAATGAAGGAGGTATCCTCAGCTCGGATGCATAATTTACTGTGGGCGGAGAATACTGAAGTTTTCAGCTGGCTTTTCCGTGAAAAACATTCCAAAAACAGAGAAATTCCAGTGCATGTTAAAATGCCTACTACACTAAAATGCTTACTTAATTTGATTGAATCACATTGTTGAAACTTTATATTAAGGTCAGATAAAGTTTTACACTTTTTTGTTGTTTTTCTTTTGTATAATTGAACAGCAAGTCACAGAGAACGGTATAAAAGAAAGAAAAAAGATCAAAATTTTCAATTCAAAATTATTGCGAGTTGGTCATCAAAATTCTGATATACCAAACGTGAAATTTTGAGACATTGTGGATGGCAAAAAAAAAAAAGTTTGCCCTTTTTAGTGGTGACAAAAAGCATCGTGGGCATGTTAAAATAGAGCCAACCTTTTACTTGTGAACTGTGGATTTCTCTTTAGTAAGGATTACTGTGAGAGACCATGAGTTGTTTACTTATTTAGAGCAAAGTGGCTCTAAAGTCATATTAAAGATACATTTTGGCCTACATGTTATGTGTTTAAATGCTCTCTTTTTATATGATATACAGTAGTGTTGGTTTCTTGTTGTGGTATTTGTCGTCATCCTGGATCTACTAGAAAACATTGTTATACAGTTATACATGCATAGACTACATAAACACTGACTAAAAAGCTTTTGGGGTTGGAATGTGATTATCAAATAATCGTCAGTAAAAGCCTTTCAACATTTCTTCCATTGGATAATCTTGTTTTTGTCTTCGATCTTTTTGAACACTGTCTCATCTGTTTATTTCAGCTGCTGGCTGTCACTGCAGAACGGAGCCATCTGGGCATTTGTGGCACCGGCTCTTTTTGTGATTGTGGTGAGAAATTTGCAAAAGTTTCCTTTTGTTGCTTTACACGAGTCACAATTTGTCACCTAATTTACAAAAAGTCTGTTTTCTGTTCAAACATGGCTTTGTTTCAGGTAAACATTGGCATTCTGATATCCGTGACCAGGATCATATCTCGAATCAGCGGAGAGAATTACAAGGTTCATGGAGACGCCAATGCAGTCAAGTGAGGGGTTTTTTGTTTATTGTTTTTTTACATAATCAGGCTAATTCTTGTATTATTATCAAATGCTGATATTTGAATAAAAATTCATAACATAACCATGTTATCTCTTGGATTGTCTCCAGGCTGACCATAAAGGCAGTAGCTGTGCTTCTGCCTATACTTGGCATTTCCTGGATCTTTGGTGTTCTCGTGGTCAACACACAGTCTTTGCCATTCCTTTATATATTTGCAGTTTTCAACTCATTACAAGTAGGTTCTTTACGATATGATCAATGTTAGATTTTGTAACGCTATTTCTAAAACTATGTATAAATTCTTTTCTCTCCTTTAGGGGTTCTTTGTCTTCTTATTTCACTGTCTTCTCAACTCTGAGGTATAATGCTGAATATGTTTTCACTTCCCCACACACAAACAACTAGAATTTCATATTATGTATATGTTATTAGATATTTAGTCTAAATAGCAAGAAGGGGGACAAAGTTCTCTGCTGTAACAACTTCTAACTTGTGATGAATGCACAGCATACTTTGCCTCATATTTCTCAGTGTTTGTGATGGATTTACTTCTTACTGTAGGTCAGAGCTGCTTTCAAACACAAAACCAAGGTCTGGTCTCTTACCAGCAGCTCCATCCGAAACATTAATGTGAAGCCCTTCAACTCTGACATAGTGAGTCCTGATCATGGGGGAAAAAAAACAGATAAAGCAAAAATGGCTGCTTGAGTCTGACTTAATCTCTGTTTTTGTTGTTTTATAGATGAATGGACACAAGGAGGGTGTAACTCCCACCAAGATGAACACATGGGACAAGAGCACCAACTCAGCCAACCGCATTGACCTCTCTGCCGTGTAGAACCCCACATCACTATTTCCGCCTGTGGTGGGAGAGCAGTCTGAAGCCCCCAGAGTGTCCTCCCACATTATTATGTAATGAATTGGACAGTGGTCTGCTTAAGTTAAAAATGTCACCAAAAGAAGTGTTTTGTAGCTACGCGATAGCTTCATCTTTAAAGACAAACAGATTCTTAGGACTGTGCCTTACTATCCACTCAAAATAACATGCCGCATTCCCAAAAAGAAAACCAGAAGGAGAAAGAAGGATCTGTGAAGTTATTAGAAAGATCCATGAGCGTAGCTCGAGGCCTGATGATGAAACTCTGTAGTGTAGCATGTCAGCTTGTCTACCTGCATACTGTACTGTAGATAGGGGAGCTAGGGTTAGATGGCACAGATTTTATGTATGTTTAGTACATATGTAGAATGAAAAAAGGAAGTTATTTTTGATGCCAAGGGTGTACTTACTGTTCGCACTCAAAGAGTAACATTTATTAATATTTTTTATGACAAGAAAGAAAGAAATAATTGAAAATATTAACTTTATCTCTGGGCATCGAATGTCGTTTTCAAAAATTTCAGAATCTCTGTTGGTTGTACTTATTTTTTCTACAACTCCACAAAGTTATCTCCACCTACTAGCTAGCTAGCATAGCTTAGCACAAAAACGGGAAGCTAGCTAGCTTGAACAAAGGAGACGAAATTCACCTACCAGACACCACTAATGAGGCTCATTTGTTAAATATGTACAAAAACAGATGTAAAAATAACAAGCTGTAGCTTTACAGTCATGTGCCAGATTAGCGGCATCCGTCTTTCTGACGAATCTGTGCTCTGCCAGACTAGTTTGCTGCTGTTTAGCTGTAGACTCAAGAGCAGTGGTGTCTAATCTTTTTATGTAACTCTTGGCAAGAAAGCAAACGAGCTTATCTTCCAAAATGTCAACCTGTTTATTTGAATCACAGGGACGTGCTTATCATAGCCTAAGCTGTCTCACATGATAAAATAGTGCAATTACATCCAATGAAACGCAGTAATAGGCTAAGTATTTTCAAGATATAGCTGAGTAAAAAACAAAACCATGCCATCGGATAGAAAAAGACCAAGGAAAGTTTCTGTTTTCCTTTAACTTAGTGTTATATTTATGTTTTAAAAACTATGACAAAGTGGTTTGACCAACAGGCAACAGAATTCATCATCATAAGGGACACATTGTAAATTTTATCTAGGTGAAACCTTTTTTATATTCACATGATAAACACAGTTTTAATTCAGTTCTGGTGATGGCACAACACAATAACGGCATAATAACCATGGATGATGTAAAAGTGGATTAGAATCTTATAACGTATTTATTTATTTTGTGAATCTGAATTTATCTTTATCTTGTCTTCTGCAAAGTGTCACAGCTCAACAATCAGTATGTTCTTATGTTAAATTTGTGTGTCTGTTACTGTTTAAAATGAATAAAATGAATTGACTGGCACAGTTGCAGTACCTCACATCTTAGTAAGCTGCCATATATTATTTTTTTCATGGAATAATGAAGACTAGTTGTGTATCGAACACCGTTCTGTGAAGTTTTGATTTCGTGTTTAGCCTCGTCTGTTGCTATTTCTTCTATAACAGAGGGACTGGATAAGGTTATTGCTTTTTTTTCTTACTATACTGTGAGAATTAGGGGAGATCACATTATTTAAAACATCATCGATCTTACACTGAGACATCAATAAGTTTCCTAGAATAGGATTTACTGTAAGTCACAGATTTAAAATGAAATATTTCAGTACTCCCAAGCATGTTTGTGATCTTTGATGTTTGTTGTCTTACGGTACTATGGTTTGAGCTTTCGGTTATCTTTATTAAAAACCTTTTAGTATAAGAAATCAGTGTGTACTTAAATAAATGATTTTCAGCATTATAAAAACATATTTATATGACTTATGGGACAGTTTTGGTGGATACAAGTGTGCGCACCTGTTATTTACACTCTTATAAAATTAATTTTTGGCAAGAATGATTTTCTGTCAGGCAAAAACTGCATTTCACAAAAGTACAAGAAAAACTGCTAGACATTATTGCTTTTTTAAATGTATTAAAGAGTGACTGAAGATACATACTTGATTTGATTACATCACATTGCTGAAACCTTATTTTAAGTTCAGATAAAGATGCATGTTGATTTAAATTTCACTGAACTAACACTGAACCTTGCTATGACCAAATCCTGTTTAAATTCAAGAAATTGGTTGTTGTTTTTTTGCTATTGCTTTGTGTGGCCATAGAGAAAATATTAGCAGAGAAACTCTTCATTTGAATGCGTGATGGCCATTTACCATTTGTTAACAACTGAACTGCTAATTACAGAGCTTAAAGAGCTTAACCCCCTGTGGGCACTGGGCCGTGGGGTTGGGTTTAATCGCGGGAGGCCAAGAGCCTTTGTGATAATGAATGCATATTAGTTGGGGGAGGAAAGATTGAGTTTATCTCACTAAGTGAGGTTAAATGCAGTGGATTTTATTGTAACAGAATGCTATTCATGTCTCTACTCTAGTAGTCCTCCACAGCATAACATTAGTATTTGATTTTTATTTTCTGTAATTAAAAATACAGTAATGAAGAACTGTGTTGAAGCTTGTTTCTTCAACTGAAAAAAAAGTTTCTCACAGTTAAGTTGACATGTTATTATTCAACCTAATTTCTACGTTTTTAATGATTAAGTATCTGCGTGAGTTTTTAAAAGTTATTTCCCCAGACGTTTTCGCCAGTAAGTAAAAAGTATGTGATACCAAACTTTTAAATTTTAAGATAATACAGTAGCCCCAAACCCTGAAACAAGCTACCAATGCGAAGTGGCGGACTTTACGAGTTGTCCCTGAAGGCGACACCATGAAACAGCTGCCTGCCTGTTTGCGCATGCTCACCAAAAGACATGAATAACCCCTGGGTAGATGGGTAGAAAGGTGAGGAGGAATACAACAAAGTTTAAACATAGTCGTGTGGACACTAACTGTGTTGACGAGCGGTCATTTGAACTTTTACCGGTTCTAGCAACGCGACATGGACTAGTTAACCTCGTTAAATAAGCACAGTGTGCTGCTAATATTTTGTTTACATACTGTTTACGACGAGGTTATTTCAACTTTTTTTGCTTGTCGAAACTTTTTTATGTTTTTTTATCGACATTTGCTATGACCACAAAGCTTGCTTCGTGCCATGACGGTGTTTTTCATCAGTGGTATGGGATTTGCTAGCAGGAGAAAACTGCCGTGGGACCGCGCGTTTGTTTCATTTGGAAAATCAACCACTTAAAACACTATCGGATATTTTAACACATTTTTGTAATATCCATGGAGTCTATTGGGAAGTTTGAGTTCAGCAGGAAAGACCTGATTGGTCATGGCGCATTTGCAGTTGTGTTCAAAGGCAGACATAAAGAGGTAACTTTCATATCTGATGTTAATTTTGATTTATGTGGATCTCTGGAGATGAATAGGTTGTGTTGTTGTTGTTGTGCTTATGTACTCCCTTTGTTTACCTTCCAAGAAACGTGATTGGGAAGTTGCCGTGAAGTGCATAAACAAGAAAAACCTTGGCAAGTCTCAGTGTTTGCTTGCCAAAGAAATCAAAATATTAAAGGTATGTATTTATTTAAGATGGTGCTGTGGCATGTCTCCAAGAATACCTTTGACAAATATGTTTTTTCCCCACACCTCTGCTAGGAGCTGAAACATGAGAACATTGTTAGACTACTTGACTATCAGGTAAGGTTGCTCCCCCCATCCTCATCTTCACAGCACATGCATAACAAAACTCACAGACATGCTGTACTGTTGACTTTGCTGCCACATGATGCAAATGTTGCTGAAACACTGGCAACCAGTTACACAGCCAAGCCCAGAGCTTGATCTGAAAGTTTTAAGGTTCCTCCATCACAAATAAATTATTATATAAAATGCATAAAAGTAACCGCGTGATTGATGTTCACTTGTGATGTATAGCGCTAAATTTTGGATTTGCTTCTGGGGCTAACTGCTAGAACCCAAAAGGCTTTTAGCTTAGCAGATGACTCTAGCAGAGAACATTAATTTACCTGAGTGTGCGCTTTCCTCTTCTCAACTTACTGACACTCTGATAGCCAGGCAGACAGACATGGGTGAGGTGATCTATTTCTGACAGATGGCAGACTGCAGCCAGTGAGACAATGGCTTATAAAACACACAACCTGAGAAACACTCACACACAAGAAAAATGACTGCAGGTTACACGGGGAGATTTCAGGGGTGATGGCAGAAGCTTACGCAGGCATTAATGTGTGTAATTTACCTGGCATCTGTGCAATCTAAACCCTCTGGTATCTGTTATAACCAGACACATTACACCACCACTAGCTTTATTATGGCTCTTCTCTGTGGTTGTTGTTGGTAATGGTGGTATATATATATA